TCAGCTTAACCACGTACAAAAATATATATTTGTGTATATGTAGTTATGTGACTGGCTCTCTCTCTGTCTACGTAATCAGCTTAAAATTACCAGAACATGTTGGGGTGACTTCCTTTTTTTGTGAGTCATGCTCAAATTATCTTGAATTTTTCTTCTTTTACTGACCAACAACAACATCTTGACATTTGGGGTAACCGTAGAAATGCCAAGGTAAGCATTTATCAGCAGAAACCATCTGGGAATGGGAATAAGTATTTTGGTTTTTGTATGTGTTTGTGTGTGATATAAGTTTTATGCTAGAACTTTCCTAGTGGACAAATGAGTCTCTCTTGGTTTATTTAAGTTTGAAGATACCTGCCAAAATTCAATTGTACTAATCTAGGGATGGTTACTTGTAATATCTCCACAGGTCAGCAAAATTTACTAGGTTCGTAATTTTTCGTAGTAAAACGGAAGATTTGGTTGTGAATGGACACATTACAAGTAATTTTGTATTACAAGTATTTTAATATTCTTAGCCTTAGAGGATAGTGCATAAACTTTTATACAATCAAAAAATGGACTCAATTCGGACCAAGACCTCTTGAAGAAAGTACACATTTTTTCAAACATTGTACCTATATTAAAATATTAATTTCAAACTCAGATCAATGTCCATGCCTTTTAGTACCTCTCCGACACATATATTTTTTTCTAACCATTTTTTCTAACGATAGAAAATTTCAACCTCTGGATTTATTAATTTTTTATCAGTACGAAATAACTGAAATTTCTAGTCATTTGGTTAAATTTTGCAACTCATCGAAATATTCAACGGAGATCCCATGTCCGCCTGTCTTTTTTATTATTATTATTTTTAACTTAACACATACATTGCTACTAGCCATACGAATGTTGGTACTGAAAATGAAATAAGTAGGTCCACGATTTTTTGTATCGTTTTTAGTTCGATTTTTTAACCAAATTGACTGCTTGTGATATTTTCTGTTATAATTGGGTGCCAGGTCTTAATAGTAAACGTAAGAAATTCCAGAAATTCATAAGAAATTCCAGAAATTCATAAGAAATTCCACAAATTCATAAAAATTCCCAATTTTGAATATTCATCTTATCGTAGACGCTTCCACTCCGATTGAGACTCCAGCTTTATCTGGCGATAAAACTCGTTTACCATTCACTTTCCTTTTTGATGTTCGGAAAAAAGAAATCATGATGCACACTAATTTGTTATCTCTTGTTTGTTCTTCGAAGTTCTCCGAAGATATCAGACCAGTAAATTGTCGTTTACCACTCAAAATTGACAATCCTACGTTGTTAAAGCGGAACAGTCGCCACATGCCCAATTTTGCGACGAATTAGGGAATCATTGTTTTGAAATTCCTTTTCACGAACAAGTTTCGTTGAGTTTGGTTCATCTGTTTCACCACTAAACTGTCGGGGGCTACAGACAGCCAGTTATTGGCTCGGATAAAAATATTCTGCAGAGAAATCCGTTACCAATTAAAGACTTTAAATTATGCTAGGACCTAAAAATAAGTAAGATATGGCGAACATAAGGGCTAGGTCTGAACAAGACCTTATAATCTTTATTCGAGGAAAATTATAAATTCCAAATTGCAACAGCCAAAAGCGGACTCATATTTAAAAGTACTATGATAAATCATTTTTCTCCTCTCAGAAGACAATATAACAGCCACTTCGATTGGAAAATAGGCCTACGACCTTAAAAATACTTAAAATGCGGTTGTCCTTTTATATTGAGGCAATCTCCAAACATGATCCTAACACGGCATTGGAAATTTGCTTCACGGTGCTTCATGTGCCCCCATCGAAATATTGGTTTTAAGACCCCATGTTTCTTTGTACAAAATCCGTCAGACAATTTGGAGTGGATTTACAAATGTTCGTTCTATCTGCCTGTTTGTCTGGCTAGAGCGCACGATGACTCTCGAACGAAGTAACCGATTTCATAAAAACTTTGCAAATCGTACTATCGCTTCCAAACCTAGTTCAAGTCGGAAGATGGGGAATATCGGTCCAGCCCTTCTGGTCCTCCATCACAATACGGTAAGAATGGTGCTGATCAGGCGAAGAGAGCATCGAATTAAACCCAAAACTTGCACAACCTAATATTTTAAGCATGCCTGTATATTGTTGGGAGATGGGATGGAATGGGAAAGGTTAAAATTTTCAAAAGTTGTTAGATAATTTTAAAAATTATGAGAAAATACATGGACACCTGGCTAACTTTGGAGGGCCATACCATTGGAACTACGGACAACCGCAAAAAAGCATACCATCATACCATCAGCCTTCATCAGTCCCCAAAGATCACATACAATTTCAAAACGATTCGCGAGGGGCCTTAAACTGAATTATAGTCTCGGTTAGAAAATATTGTTACAACCTAAAACATTTATTCTAAAGTAGTGCAATATTTTTATATAGAGGCCACGGCAAGGTATGGAACTGTATTTAAAATGCTCAGAGGAAAAATCTTACCAATTTACTTACACTTCGAATGAATAAAATTTATCTAGGTTCTTCAAAATACATAAAACGCGGGGATGTTTATATGGAGGACATATCAAAACTGCGATTAGGTATTTTTCGAAAAGGAAATTTTAAATTACAGCCAATATTCTCGTGGAAGATATAAAATATAACCATAAAATAAATTTTCTGAAATTTCTCCAAAATCACTGAAATGATTTCGTAGAAATTTGACCTACATCAAAAGATTTTCTTGAGGAGGTACTCTACCCAATGAGACATTGAAGAGTTACATAGGAAACATGCATGTATTTGATGAATAGTGTTCATAAAGCGTTGTCATTGTCTGGATTTCGGCATTTCAATTCATAAAACTTAATAGTGAGCAACTTGGGTTGAGCTTGGTGGTGGTTTTTTGTGACACAGAAAATTTTAGTTCAGATTTCCTATTTTTGTTTCACCTTTTGTTCTTTGTTATGTCTTGCCACGTTACCTTTTTATATCCGTGTTCGCATGTTAAGTCACATTTAGAACAATCATTAACAATGTTAAACACTCGGTAGATCAATCGAAATATCGAAATAATTTGGAAAATACATATGGGAATTTTATAATAGCAATGCGGTGCCTGATGTAAACAAACAATGAAATACTAAACTAACCACAATTGAGTGATTGGTGAGACGGAGTCTGTTATCAAGAGGAGAAATAGTGACGGAAAATAGTTTTGATATTAATGAAACCTTTACATATTTTTTTAAATAGTGGCTTCCTCACGATTATAAGAAATTTTACTCGTTTTCTATGCGTGGTACACGGACAATATAAAAAAATATTTGAATGGAATTATGAAAATATTCATTAAAAGATTTTTGGGGGGGTGAAGAATTCCTAATGGAACTTAGAAGGACAAATTCGCTAACGTCAAGTTTTTGTGTTGACTTTTTTTGCTGGTTGCTCTACAGTTAATGAAGAAAAGGCTTTATACAGCATTTTTCGGTTAATTGACCCTACGGTTAATTGGTTTCCACGCTTAATTGAAAAAGGAAGGTACTACAGACAAATATAAGCAGAATCAAATCATAATCATAATACAAAATCCGGGTACGTTACGGCAAAAAATATTTCATAGGAAAATACATGTAAATTTTCTCGGATAATTACACCCTGTTTGTTGATTTCCCCGCTTAATTGGTTCAAAATTCATGTCATCAAAAATAAATTTCCTTTTACTTTTCACCGGTTAATTGCATAATAATAATTGAAAAACAATCTGCCATTTTTTTACATACATATTTGACATAATTTGTGAAAAAGACTAGGTGGCATCTATAATAATTCAAAACATATGTTTATTGCTAAGGAAAAACTTCAAGACGTGATTACTGCAATTGAACAAACTATTCAATTAAGCGGGTTCGGATAATTGGTTCCTCGGTTAATTGAACGAAAATTTGTGCAAATTTTGATGTGCAATTAACCGAAAAATACTGTATATTTATTCGCGACTTTCGTGTCAAATCGAATGAGGAATATGTTTTTAAATATATTCTCTCTCTATCTCGAGTTAAAGGTTTTCGGAGCCTAGATAAGGTAAACGTGAATAAAGGAAAATAAATCCATTGTTTTTCGGCAGATGGCTGTACTGATAGATTTCACGTAAACAATTTCAGATTTATGCTCGTTGGAAGGATGACATTTCGCAGTAAAAAATTTGTTTTGCTGTTTTTTGTTTGGTGCATTCAGTTGTGAGTTACAGGGTGTTAAAAATGGAGGCGAACAAAGAGAAAATTCGGTACATTTAAAGTTTTTCTTTGACAAAGGCGAAAATGCAAGCCAAGCGGATAAAATTATGAATGGTAACAACCAATTATGTGCAATTGCTGTTTCGTAGATTCCGTTCAGAAATTTTTGATTTTAAAGATGCACCTGACACAGTTATTCCTGTTGTCGATAAAATCGAGGAAATGATCGAAGTTGACCGGCATGTTAGCAGTCGGAGCTAAAAAACGACTGTTTAGACAAAAAATAATAATAATATTAATGGATTTCTTTTTCCCCAACCTAATATATATTTTTTGTCTTTGAGAGTCCTATCTGAAAACTTGTTAAAATGTTGTCGAATATTTGTATGTAAACAAGAATCTCGTCTTGCGGTAATTCGTTTCCAAAAATAAGGACGAAAATACCCACAAGGACTAGAGGTTACGAAATTTACGTAATAAAATATTTCTCATCTTAAATAGCTGCAAATAATGAATAATAGGATCTCCAGCAAATAAATAATAAACCTTTGGCGAATTTTCCCTTCTGTGTCCTCAATACACTCGCCAAGGGCTTTTATACTCGGAAGAATGTCCCACGCCCAAAATCTTGAGCAGGGTTATCTATATTTTTGTTCTTCATATAATAATTAAATATTTACGATATAATTAATTTAAATTATTTAATTTAGACCCCGAATTATTGATTTTTAATAAGTTATTTCATCATTCTTTTCATTACAGGATTACGAACATATGGGCCGGGCATTTTGTGAAACGCTGCTGGACTATTGCGATGACAATCCGAATAAAGTAAAGAGAAACGCTAAGTTGTTGAAACGCATTAAGAAAATACGTAAACGCGAGAAACGCGAACAGAAGGCATTGAAATTAAAGAAATTGGCCGAACAGGGATGTATAATCGAAGAGAAATTCAAAGTTAAAATGAGAACAGGCAAAAGTGTTTCTTAGAAACAACAACACCTCGAAAACTTAATTTACAAGAAAAAACATTACAATAACAAACAACAATACTACCATAACACTTAAGACGAAAAAATACACTAATAAAAAAATCATATACCCACTTAACAGATACTTGCCAAAAGAACACAATTTGTTTTTCAGTTCCTTATACGTAAACATGTTGTTGTAGTTAATTTTTTGTTGTAGTTTATTGTGTAATATTTGTGATTTATTTCTTTTAATGGTGTGTGTAAATTTTGAAAACAAAGTAGATTTTTTGTTGGTACTTTTTCAATAAAATGTCCTGTAAAAATACATCCTACACCAAAAATAAAGTTCTTTTTATTTTGAAAAAAAGTTTTAATAAAAAAGTACAGTGAAACACATTTGACAGATGGATATTATCTAAATATTTAAAATATAAATAAGGTAAATTGCAAGATTAAAGCCGGGTTTAAGCAAAACCCTTAGCTAATAATTCTAACCCCAGCTAGGGGTTTTCTCCTATCATCATAAGCTTTCAAATTTTGGCGCTCCCGAGTGGTTCAAGATTTTATTGGTGCTCAGTGTTATTGTACATAATCATGATCCCAATTTTGACTATTGATATCCATTTCTCAATGGTTCCAATGTAATTCATTTTTTAAATGTTTATATTTTTTACTTATTTTTATTTAGTTGTTTTTTTAATTTATTTCCTTATATATTTTTTCAATGGTGTAGGCAATTGTAACAACTCAACCACCTGTGTCTGTATGTATATTTAGTTGTAAACTAGTCTTGGAGCCCTGGTTTTATTGTTTGTTTTTTCTTAATTTCAAATTCATTTGACTGCCTTTATAAACTTATTTTTGAACTGCTCTCTGCCTCTCTATCATCTATGCTTCCTGTATGTCTTTCTGCTTCAGTATCTGCCACCAACACAGAACATTTATATTTACACAGACACTAAAATGACTTACACAGATACACCACTACACAAAAATACAAGTCCTTTCCATTTTCCTTAAGCTTGTGTGTGTATGTACTCGTATATGTGTCTCGCTTGGTTACCCAAACAACTGATGTTGTTTGTGAAATTTCATAGAAAGCTCAAGGAATTTTCAAAAGTTTCTTTGTTGTTTTGTTTTTGTTTTACTTAGTGTTTTTGTTGTTTTCGATGTTTATCCCCTTTCACACAAAGGAAAATGTAATGAAAATGTTTCCGTAACATTACATGGCAAAGTTAAATATGTTACGTTATTACGTGAAATGCAAATTGATGTAAGTTTTGATTTATTTACTTACGATATTTGAAGAAATTATTTAAAATTCCTAATGCGGATGAAAGCCCTTGGCAAGTAGTATGAACCCACAAAGAATAATTTGTCATTGGTCAAGTTTTTGAGTTATGGGGCAGTGAGGTTTTTGTTCCATAGTTCAATAAGAAAATGAGTTAACAGTGAGTAACAGTTAAAAGTATCCACTTGGCTTTTATGCACTCAGCCTTATGGCTAATGAGGGTATATACACTTTGATAAGGTGAAAATGTGCCTCATTGAAATATTGGTTTTAGACCCCATGTTTCTTTGGACCAAATCCGTTTCAGAAAATTTGTGGTCGATTTACACATGTCCGTCCGTTGTCCGTCTGTCTGGCTGGCTGGTGCGCACGATAACTCTCGAAGGGAATAATCGATTTAATCTAAACTTTGCACATCTTCTTTCCAAAATTAGTTAAAGTTCGAAGATGGGGAATATCGGTGCACTCCTTCTGGTACCTCCCCCTCAAAATTGTTATAAATAGTAATTCTATAATAACATGCAAACGGACTATCCGATTTTAACGAAACTTTGTACAACCTATTATCTTTACCAAGCCTAGATCAAGTAGGAAGATGGGACCCATTGGTGCACTCCTTGTACCTCCCCCGCAGAGGGTAACATTATTATAAATCTAATATCAAGCGAATGGAATGTCCGATTCGAACCAAGCTTTTCACAACCTGTTATCTTTACCAAGTCCTGATCAAGTCCGAAGATGGGACCCATTGGTCCACTTGTTCTGATCTCCCCCAAAAATGGTCAGCATCCTCTGTTAATAATAATAGTTAAAAGTCAATCTTAAATATCTGGAAAATAAATATAACCCACAAACAATTAGAAGAAATGTGCGTTAGCATATTCATGACTGAGTCGCACTGAAAAAGTCAATTCATAAACACGAAAAACTGGAAAATCCGATTGGAATTCGTGCAGGAACACGACAAAAAGGATGTTGCATTTTGAAAATCTGTAATATTTTTTTATGACAGCAAATTTAACTTGTTTGGGTCGGATGGACCAAGTAAAGTATGGCAAAGGACGAATAAAGCCATGAACCCTAAGCACACAATTTCGACCGTAAAGCACGGATGAGGCTCTGTAATGACATGGAGCTGTACGAGCGCTTCCGGAGTATGACATCTCTGAGTTTGCAATTGTTTTTGTTTAACATACATTATTTTTTATATCAAATCCTTGGAATAGCATGCCCTCAATCAAATCAAATAGGGAATATTTTTCTAAAATATGTCCTCCTTCTTTCTCAAGTCCTTGTCATTTTTTCGTCCTTATTTTCTTTAACGGGAATCTAAATACCACAAGAAGAGAATTTTTGACGTCCAAATATTCTGCCAACATTTTTTTTAATAGGGTCCCCAAAGAAATGAAATCTGTATTCAAGGTATTTCACCCCCATTAGAAAATTTCAATCACCAGACCATGAGGTCGATTTTGTGACATAATGATATTAACGATATTTTTTTAAAAAATCATCGATATATTTTTTTAAAGAAATGATTTCATGCCTGCGCTAATAATGCGGTATTACAGACATACAGGGCTAAGAAGTCATGTAAACCATGGATCTATATTGAAAATTCTCGGGAAGAAATTTTTTATTCGCATGGAATACGGAATGCCAAATTATATGTCGACATATAGACCTACATCGAACAGTTTCTGGAAGGATATTTTCCCCGACGGAAATCGGAATGCTAAATTATAACCACTTCGGCGGGGAAATACGACTTTGGGGCTATCGACTTTTTTTCAAAATAAAAATAGATAAGTAAAAATACCTACAATGGTGCGGTACCTTTGCTTGGTTCGATATTTATAATTTGTGTTAGGAAGATTTGACAAATAATGAGAACAAAAAATATAAAGTTAAAACCAATTCGATAAAAACCAGTAAGGAAAGTAGTAAAGTCGGACGGGGCCGACTATATGATACCCTTCACCACTATGGGTATATTTATATTAACATGAAATTGGATGAAATAAAATATGTGATATTTATCTAAATGTGAACCTACCTAGATCTATCCTTAAAGTATGTAAATCGACTTCAAACAAATATAAATAGGCCATCCGTTGGGCTATGTCTGTACTTCTACAAAACGCAACTACGTAATTCTATGCTCAATTTTGTAAGTTGTGCAACATTTGATGTCAATCTGACTAACGTAAGGAGTTTGATGCCCAATTTACTTGAAATCGGGCGAAAATATATATAGAAGCTCTATCCAAATATTAAGCGATTTCAAACAAACTTGTCACAGGTTAGGTAATACTAATTTCAGAACGTTTTGTTCCTAAAAGCCTATTGGTTCCTTGGTGCATCAATTACTTAAAATCAATATATAATAAAAGGGAGCTATATCTAAATCTGGACCGATTTTCACGAAACAAAGCAGACATCACTCTAGGTTCACTTCAGTACGTTATGCCAAATTTCGTGCAAATCGAAGGATATATAGGGACTTTGGGGCACCATTTACATGAAATCGGACGAAACTATATATGGGAGCTATATCTAAATCTGGACCGATTTTCTCGAAACTTGGCAGACATCACTCTAGGCTTAATTCAGAACGATATGCCAAATTTCGAAAGATATATAGGGACTTTGGGGCACCATTTACATGAAATCGGACGAAACTATATATGGGAGCTATATCTAAATCTGGACCGATTTTCACAAAACTTGGCAGACATCATTCTAGGCCTAAATGTTTAGTCTGTACCAAATTTCGTGCAAATCGAAAGATATATAGGGACCGTTAACATTAAATCGGTTAAATATATATATGGGAGCTATATCTAAATTTGAACCGATTTTTCCCAATTTCAATAGGGTTCGTCCTTGGGCCAAATAAGTGACCTGTGCCAAATTTCATCCAATTCGGATCATAAATACGACCTGTACTTTGTTTACAATTTAACATGGACAGACAGACGGACGGACGGACGGACATGCATAAATCGACTCAGAAAGAGATTCTATGCATATTCTCAAAAGGAACCATGGGTCTATCTCGATTATTTTTGCCTGTTACGAACATATGCACAAAGACATAATACCCTGTACCACAGTGTGGTGAAGGGTATAAAAAAACTCCAAAATACCGAATCATGAAGGGTATGGTTATATGGATTGGTTTAGCCCGAACCATTTTGCTAAAACTTACAACTTTTTAAGGGGAATATCTACCTAAATTTCAGATAATCAGAAATTTGGTTGGAAACGTGCACGAACTTTTCTAAATACCGAAATTAGGGGTGAACCGTTATGTGGGGGATACCCCAAAATATTGGTGTTATAAATTATTATAATAGATCGATTTTGCTAGTCGTGATATGACAAAAAGTTTGGTCTAGGACCAATATTTCGTGGAGTTACAAACTCTTGGGACCACACAAACTTATAATACGCTCACAGTGTGTGGTCCACATAGTTGTGTATGGTATACAACATATTCATAGAATATCCACGTTAAATGCCTAAATATTTCAACAAAATAAATTTTTTATTAAATTATTTTATTTATAATTTAAAAATTATTTTAATCTTCCTTCGTCTCTTAAAACAATTTGCATTTCTTCCGTAAAATTCGTAACTAATTATTTTACATCGAAAGAGACAATATGTTACATGCACACACACAGCCCCGCCAAATACACCCTTGGATAAACTTCTCCGAA